TTTGCAGTACAGTACTTTTACTTTTGTACTTCATTACTTCCACCACTGAAAGGGGAAAATACCAATGACAACTTTACAATAATATACAGTAGAAAGCACCATGTGAAGCTGCATCATTGTTGTGTGAAGTATCTTTGGTTTTGGTTATGATAACAGGGCAGGAATGACGATAACTTAGAAGAATGCGTATTTGGGAGTATTTTGAAGTAGGTCGCAGACTCAAATGATGACGTACAGGTGCATTATGTCATTTTTTTTTAGCTGGAATGTTCCACAGTGTGACATTAAACAGCTCTACTTTATATTTATTCAGTTACAAGTGGTTTTATAGCTCGAAAATACCTAGAAAAACTGGTATTCTGACTGTGAGCGGGGCCGCCTCTCCACAGATCTGACTTGTAACTTGGTCTGGTTTGGTTTCCATGGAGATAGAAAGGTTTAATGCCATACTGTGAAACATTCCAGCAATAACGAAGCAATAACATCTCCATGAAGAAAAGCATTTGATGGACTATCCGCCAAGAAAGTTCCGCAATGCACCTTTAAGAGTTGGACAGTCTGGAGTTGGCCAAAATTAGAACATTGAATCAAACTGGCTTTGTCTGGAAAGTTCCTCACTATGGCATTAAATGTGTCTATCTATATTTAATCAAGAAAAATGCCTTAAAACAATAAATTCTTACGGAGAGTGGGTTCACAGATCTGACCTGTAACTTGACCTAGTGGCGTCACCTGCTTGTCTCCACGGAGAGAGATAGGTTTAAAGCCGTACTGTGGAATATTTCAGGCACGGCAACAACATCTCCATGGAAACAAGCAGTGACGAACCTTCCAACCACAAAAGTACATACGATTTAGTTTTTGGAGCACTATACTGGAAAAATGTTTAAAGATGCGCTGTGAAAATTTTCGGACGATCTGCCACCTGCTTGTCTCCGTGGAAACTGCTTCTTCTGGAATGTCCCACAGTATGGCATTTAAGATTTCTATTTCGTGCTTATCCAGTACATGTATTTGTTCAATATCGATCATATCAAACCTTAAAAACGCACGTCTCTCCACAGATCTGACTTGTACTTGGCCTAGTGGCGTCACCTGCTCGTCTCCACGGAGATAGATAGGTTTAAAGCCGTACTGTGGGATATTTCAGGCACGGCAATAAGGTCTCCATGGAAACAAGGAGTGACGGATCTTCCAACCACAAAAGTACATATGATTTAGTTTTTGGAGCACTATACTGGAAAAATGTTCAAAGGTGCGCTGTGAAACCTTTTGGACGATCTGCCACCGTGGAAACTGCTTTGTTTGGAATATTCCCCAGTATAGCATTTAAGATTTCTATTTCCTGCTTATCCAGTCAGGCATGTATTTGTTCAATATGGATCATATCAGACCTTAAAAACGCACGTCTCTCCACAGATATGACTTGAGACGTAAAAGTAGATGCCATACTGTTGAACATTCCCAGCGTTCCCATGGAGACAAGCACGTAACTGACCCTACACCACAAAAGTAACATAGTGAACCTTTAATTTACTTGTACTCCAAGTGTAATACTGTAAAATTGTGTAAAAAAAAAAAGTATATATTAATATAAATATTTACATAATTCTTTTCACCAGAGGTATTATAACTGTTCTACCGTTACAGGATGAATTATGTTTTTTAAATGTTCAAAATGTCTATTATTATGATGTACTATTAGACTGGCCAGCTCTCAAGACGGGTGGGTCATCACTGAGCTACAACACTAATGATTTATAAGAAGCACTTAAAACCCTACTTCAAAAAACCCCAAAGAATCACTTAAAAAAACTCAAATGAAATAGAGAAAAGGATAGAGAGAGGATTCCTCAAGTATACAGATGTGAAGGTCGCGGAGGAGGGGTGGAGATGTGAGAAGTAAATGTAAAAGAGTGAAATTAAATAATAAAAAATAAGGAGCAACGAAACCAATAAGTAGGACAAAAAATCTATTTGAAAAATTAGCAACATGAGGAACAAATAAAGAGGTAGTTTCAGTACAGAAATTGACATATCCCTTGTCTGCAAAAAACAAAACAAAAAACAAAACAAAAAACCCCAACATAAAATATACAAGAAATCAAGAACACTTTTTTGTCAGTATCAAAACAGGAGAGTGGGAGGTGGCAGTGTAAGGTAGAGGCGGTTCAGTCTTTTAGCTTTGGTTAAAAATGTTTGAGAATTTGAAAAGAAAATAAGGAAAAAAGCATCAGATCCCGAGCCATGGAGATACAAGCTTTCCGTGCATTCCTTTCACTTCTTTGATACAGCGCTGGTGGCCCGGGTAATGCACGCTCTGAACAGCAGGGGGTGTAGGGAGCAAATGTGATTTTAAATACAGCCTTTACGCGCACATTCAGACTGTAAAATCGTAAAAAGTTTATCATTTTGACTCAGGATCTGAAGATTTTTTCCTTTATAAAGATACACACTACCATCACTTTTAGTTTCTACATTACGTACAATATCCCTGAGATCATAGAGTCACCTCAGCAAATTATTTTGACAGTTAAAAGGTGCATTGTGTAACTTTTCTGGTTGAGAATCTGCCATTGGAGATTTGACTGCTTTGTCTGAAATGTTAAACTTTTTTTATCTTGCATTTATTCAGTTCCAGGTGTTTTTATTGCTGAAAAAACACAAGCGGGGTCGCCTCTCCACAGTTCTGATGTGTAACTTGGCTTGGAGGTGTCACTTTTTTTTGTCTCCGTGGAGGTAAGTATGTTTAAAGCAATACTGTGGAGCATTCTGGACAAAAAGACGAGAAGGTAATCACCAGAAAAGCTACGCATCGCAGCTTTAACATAACTGAGAATTTAAAAAGTCAAACGGAAATGAGAAATTTGCTGAGTTGATTCTTTGGCAAGTGATGAATAAAGCATCTTTTGCAGTTAACAATATGCAACAAAGGCATCCATAAGTTAGTATTGTCTGTAAGTTAGGCTGGCAGCACATGAGTAAAACATTTCCCATTGTTAACAAGAATCCTTAAAAATAGTGTAAAACGGTTGAAAATGATATCATCTTTGTTTTCACTCCACAAAAAGAAAAATAGACAATGAATATGTGAAAAACAACAAAACATTCACAATAACTACAAAAGTACAATGACAATGTATAAAAGGTAAAGGTGAAAGGAGATGTTAAGAGGAACACTGCTTCGGACTGGTGCTGTTCGAGACTGCGTACTGGGACACGTACTGCCCGGAGATCTACGCCGTCGAACGATACACCCGTGTGACCTGTGGGGAGGGGGGGGAGGGGAGGGGGGGGCGAGGCGAGGCAGGAGAGGGTGGGTGAGGGTTCTCCAAGAGGGATGAAAAAATGAAAAAAAAAAAAAAAAAAAATACACTAGCCTATAAAGGACCTACGATGTCCTGGCACCTACTACTACTATTACTACAAGTACCCAGCATGCGCGCCGAAGTACTCCTGAATCACTCACTTTACCCTGTTTAGACCCAGGCCACGCGGAGCCGAGGAGCACGCCGGGCGACAGCTGCAGCCACGTGTGCAAACCACTGCATTCTGTCTGCATTTACACTGGGTTATTGTGACGACGGCGGAATTAATGATCTTCAAAAATAATTAAAAAAAGCCCAATTTCATATGGCTTTGTCTTTTAAACATGTGCATATCTGTCAGAGGATAAGCGAGCGGCTGTAAACCATGAGGCCTACAGACTGACCAGCGACACGAGTTAGACGCTTTACTTGTTGATACTTTCTAAATCTCTACATTTTAAAAAGCTATAAATTTGAATGCTGTGCAATATACTGCTTTTGGGCCCTCTACACGCAGCAGTTAGTGCACTAAGATCTGTCCCCAAAGGCAGCCGCAGAGTGGACTAGCTCCTACTGGCCTATGCATATTTACTATTCATATAGACTTGTGCACGAGGAGTGTGTGCAGCTTTAGCAGCATTTCCAATAACATGTGGCCACATACTCTATGTCTGTCCAGCAGAGGCGCTCCCCTTAAGCAGATTGATTCATTTCTCGTCCTGATCCTTCGTGGACGAGAACTCTTTGAGGAGCTGTCAGCTCCAGCCCATCTGGGCATTGGAAAAGCATTTGCATAACACTTTGGTCAAATAAGACTAACAGCAAACCTAGCTATCCTCCCTTCCCTTGTAGTAAAGGGATGGCTCAGTTTTAGATTCGCTTCTTATACAAGTTAATGATAAACCTACAGTATATGCACATGTCTCCAAGGTAGAGCTTGAATGCCATAGTTAATGCACATAGGTCACATTAATCACTCATAGAAATGCACGGAAAACTGAGGCATCCATTTAGCCATAAAACCCCAATCTATGATTGTAAAAAATACCCGTATGCTCCAAGTTTCTTTTCTATTGAAGATCCCACAGATCCAGCTGTCACTTACACTCTGGAATGTTCAATGATAAATGCGCCTCTGTAGACTCTAGTATATTCTAGTATATTCTATGGGCAGTGTGGTCAACTGAACCACGCTTTTACCAAACGCTGTCGGGACAGATTTGATTTCGCAGCTCCGTTTAACATTCAGTCGTTCAGTGATTAGGGTGCAGACGCATCCACAGGTTCGGTTTCATACTGGGCAGCTCTTCATTTAAACTAAAGAAAGGTACCCAAAAATAGCAACAACTTCCTGAGGTAGTCTCAAAACACTCGTCACATGTGGCCTCCCCAAAGGGATCAGATAAACTTTCGTCTTTCACAAGTCTAGCTCTAACTATGGCAACACAGAGATGCATTGAACCAACCAGGTGGACACTTGTAAACTCCAATGCATCTACGAGCATTTCTTTTGTACAGAAGCATGTGCACAGTGTAAATCAGCATACATTCAGCTCTGTCGTGTAATAAATATATAAAGAAAAAAGTTACAAAAAACAAACTCTAGCTGCTTGTCACATTCACAAAGAGGGGAGACCAGGCCCTCCACTTGTTCGGTCTGTGGTGGGGTGGGAGGGGGGTGTAGGGGGGAAGTTGGGGGTTAGTTTCCAGGGGCAGAGGTCACGCAGGGCGACTGGCCGCTCCTATAGTTGTTCACGCTGGTTTTGCAGGAGTGCAATACTGCTTTGAACAACAGGGGGAGCTGTTCCAAGGGGACATTCACCAACTTGCCTGAAAATGAATACAAAACGCTCTGTTAGATTTCTTGATCTCCTTGGACTACAAAGTTTCTCAAAGTCTCAGAGTTGCTCCTTTTTTCAATAGAAGCATTTTGATACAGTCGGGTTGAAATTAGCATAAGGCAGAAGAAGGTTAAGGCTTGACAATGGAACTACTTCAAAGCATATTCAACCAATGTTTTTTTTTTTACTTTCCAATTTTGATAGCAAAGTCGATTTTTAAGCCCTCATGGTCAGTTTTTAAGCTGAATCTGCTGTCTACATCATTTCAAGGTTTTATTTGACCGGACAGTTGTAACACGCGATGGGGAGAGAGAGTAGAGACATTTGGAAAGTCTAGGAAATGAATCTATATCCCTAAACACATACACTTAATATGGTTAAAATACTTAAGTACTCATAAAAAATATTTTCAAAACCTTGTAGTAGTAGTAGAAGAAGTAGTAGTAGTTGTACTAGTAGTAGTAGTAGTAGTGGTTGTAATGGTAGTAGTAGTAGTGATAATAGTAGTAGTAGTAGTAGTAGTAGTAGTAGTAGTAGCAGTAGTAGTAATAGCAACAGTAGCAGTAATAGTAGTAGTAACAGCAGCAATAGCCACAGCAGTCAAAGTAATAGTACGAGTAATGGTAGTAGTAGTGGTAATGGTAATTAGGGGTGGGCGATATATCGATATTTTAAATATATCGAGATAGTTTTTAAACTCGATATGAATTCTGACATATCGTATATATCGATATAATGCTTATATTCAATTTTGATTTCGCCGCTTCGCTTGTTTACCTTCTCTCTCGTCGCCCGCGCGCCCCCGCGCCTCCCTTATTTTGTTCGCTCGTGTCTCCACGAACCTTTTCCACCATTTACAGACAAAACCATCAGCAGCACATCCTCATATTCCACCGAGTCACGTCCTTTAGCCCGAAAGAAGCTAAACGAGCTGAGCTGCATGAGAAGTGCGCTGTTTATGCAAATGAGCCATGTGCTTAAGTTTCATTTCTGTAAAATGTAAACACACGTGCGCAAAACTGCATTAAGCACATTATTATCGCAAACTGGCTGATGTGGCTCTAGAGTCGTTATGCTTTATATATTGTAAAGTTTAGTAATGTAAAGTTTATTTATGCAGAATATTTTAATGAATAATCTGCTGCAGTGTCACTTGTACAATAGTGTTTGGAAACGTTGGGTTTGATCTGCAGTGGATTGTGGGAAACCTCAGAGCTCCTTCTGCTGGTGAGGAACATGGATCTGTTAAAATAATTAACATCCTGAACTTCTTCTGCTAAAGGAGCTCATGGTTCTGGTTCTGGTCTGGATAACAGAGTTAATGCAAAGATGAGCTTGTGTTCAGTTGTTTTATTTATGAATGAAAAGAAGAAAATATGTTTTATTTATTTTATTTTACAGTTAAATTATTATTTATGTAATTAGGTTTTTTTGTAATCTTAAATGTTCTTATATGAACTGCCGACCTCTTCAATTAAAAAACACTTTGGCAGATTTGGCAGATTTGTTTTTGCAGTTTTCAGTTTTAGGGGGTTATTTTTTCTTGAACATATATCGAGATATATATCGTATATCGAGATATAGCAAAATATATCGAGATATATTTTTTGATCCATATCGCCCAGACCTAATGGTAATGGAAGTAGTCGCAGTAGTAGTGGTAAAGGTAGTAGTAATAGTGGTGGCAATGGTAGTGGTAATAATGGTGGTAATGGTAGTAGTAGTGGTGGTCGTGGTTGTAGCAGTAGCAGCAGCAGCAGTAGTAGTAGTAGCAGTAGCAATAGCCACAGCAGCTAAAGTAATAGTACTAGTACTAGTAATAGCAGTAGCAGCAGTAGCAGTAGCAATAGTAGTAGTAGCAGTATTAGTAGTAGCAGCAGTAGCAGTTATAGCAATAGTAATAGCAATAGTAATACAAATAGTAATAGTAAAATTTGCAATAATAGCAAAAGTAGCAGTAGTAGCAGTAATAGTAGTGAAGTAGTAGCTTACCGGCGATGCAGCGGATCTCGGGCAGACACATCATGATTTCGGGGAAGCGTTTTGGCTGGTGTGGGTACTTGTACTCTGTGTAGTCCTGGCACACGTACCAGTAGCGCTTGTTCAGCTGCTCGAGCTGGGACACATTGGACAATCCTCGGATATCTGCAACCACGCAAAAAATACACACATGAAGAGCGCTGAAAAATACACAGTTCTATAGAAATTCATTTGATTTAGGTCAATTCTGAGGTATAATTCTGATAAATATTACTTTTTAGTCAATGCATATTCGATCAGGACTATTATTTTCATTTTATTTTGCGCATTCATTGCCACTCGCCACTTGAAATTTTGTACAACCACTTAAGTCACTTGAGTTATTATACTTGTAATATGAACTTTTATAATATTAATAGCATATTAGGTGTTGTTTTGGCCTGTCACTGCCATAGGTACTTTGATACATGCTCTATGAAAATTCTCCAACATGAACATACTGTAAGTACTAGACTACATACAGGCCTAGTTGCCATGACACCTTTTTATGTTTAAAGTGATAGTATGTAACTTTCTGACTCTCTGAACTGCATGATTCCAACTTAAACCCATACTTTGGAACATTCTATATGGAGATAAATCACTTACATATAAATCATACTGTGGAATATTATATTATATTATAGTAACAGCATTGTCATGGAAACGAGAGGGGTGAATCCCAACTCCAGGCCAAATAAGAGTCAGGTTAGTGGAGAAGCAAGCCTGCTCACAGTAAAAAAGTTTTTCAGTACAACAAAAACAGCCATGTTGAAATTATGGCTATAATATTTTGAGCAAAAACGGTACATACTGTGGCTTTAAGTCTTTGTTTTTATATTTATTATTCTCTTTTTCTTCTTTATTTTTTATTTTATTACATTACGTTTTTTTATTTGTTTGTTTGTTATGTCGATTTGTTAAAGGTGCATTCATTGTTTAAGTTTTCTGGTCAAGGATCCGTCAAATGTTTTTCTTCATGGAGAGATTATTGCTTTGTCAGGAATGTTTCACAGTATGGCATTAAGCCGGGCCAAGTTACAGGTCAGATCTGTGGAGAGGCAACCCCGCTCACCGTCAGAATGCCTTTGTTTTTCTTGGTATTTTCGATCTATGAAACCACCTGCAATTGAATAAATGTAAAGTAGGGCTGTTTAATGTCATATTCTAGGCAGAGTTATGACAAGCTGCAACCGAAAAGTTACACAGCGCACCTTTAAATTACATAAATGAATACATATTTAAATTACAATAACATGAACAACCCACTTGAGCGGCCGTGAGAAAGTCTGCGCCCATCCTTCTTACCTTGGTTGAGGAAGTTGATGGCTTTCATGCAGGCGTACTCCTCATTACTGATCTTCAGCTGGTGGAACTTGCGGTACAGATAGATCAGGCGCTCCATTACCTCCATGCCGTCCTCGCTGAAGCTAAGGAGAGTTCACAGCAGTTAAAATACTGCACGTGGAGATGTTATGGACAAATAAATCAGTGCTTTGAAAATTAAAAACCAAGTCGGGTTAATCCTCCGCAATTTCACATGGAAATCAGCGAGATAGCGCGTCAGAAATCCCCCAAAGATGCTACGCGCCGCTGACCAAGATGAAATTTAGGGAGGGTGCGTGTCAAAAATGCTAGGGAAACTTCTCTGCGAACACACTGCTTTTGAAAGATATGTCTAATACCCCTCATCAACTTATAATTAGCTTCACAACTCTGTAATCTTTATGTCCGGCAGTATCAACAAACTTTGCCACTGTAAATCAGAACACGCACTCCTACCGTACTGTAAAAACAACAGTACCGTATATTAGTCCAAAATGTGACGGGGAGCAGATAATTTTGGAGTGATTTAGGCCGAGATAAGCCCCCGCTGTCTGGGCAAGCTGGACGGTGCAAGCCACTGCGCTGTCCTGAGGAGTCCTCCCATTCACGGACCACTTCTTTGGCTCATCTCCAACCACAATACTTTACCTGGACTCATATCAGGATCCTAACATGCAAAGTGAAATGTATCGCTTTTGTAGATAGTTGGAGTGGTGATTTAGATAGGGGTTAACTATTTTTATATTTCTGAATGAGAGATTTTGTTGGCAGAGAATCAGAGGCTATATTTAAAATGTAATATAATGTTCAATATGTTATGTTAGCTGTGAAAAAGGATTAGATAGTACAATCCCTAATGGTTCCAGAGGTGATGAAATCTCTGTGAAGGGGGTCATCAGGTGGGTACCCTCTTTTACCGGTGTTTCGATAAACCCACAACACCTTCGTAGGCAGCATATCAAAATCTTAACATGCAAACTGAAACACAGAGCCTTTGTGGATAGTTCGAGTGATGATATAGATATAAACCAAGTATTTTTATATTTGTGAATGAAGTATATTGTTGGCAGAGATCCAGAGGCTAAATTTAAAATGTAATATAAAGTTCGATATGTTAAGAAGTTATTAAATGGGCCGACGTTCTGTCAAAATGGGCTGCCCTGTCGAAAGGAGCTACCAGCAGCCTAAATCGACAGTGACGACTATAGATTCACACTACCCCGTTGAAATAAGCGACCTTACATTTTTCTGTATACAGTTGTCGTAGTTTTACAACATATTTCTTTGGATTCGAGACAGCGGGTTTGATGCTGTTTGCACACGATGATCACACTTTATACTTTAGTTATGTCAAATTTCAACTCATTTATATAAATATGCATAGGTAGCTCATTTTAACAGTTGTATTCTGCTCAAATAGGGCTCCAACTGAAGGTAGCACATACTGACAGGCCAACTGGCCAGCTTAATCCCTCACCGGTCCCGGTAGATTCCATAGTGGTCCATGGGTAGATATTAGTCTATGAGCTCTTATACTTGTTCTGATACAGCTCAAGTTTATTCTAAAGCTATTCAGGAAAGGGTCATTTCTGTCTTGTAAATACTACCCTTGTAGTATCAATACCTGTTTACTTAGTTTCAATACTAGTTTTAGTACTGATTAGTATGTGATCTCCAACACTATATAGAGTAGTAAGAGTTAAAAGTAATACTTGGTTGTGGTGGTAGTAGGATTATGTTGTGTATTTGTAGTAACAGTAGTATGGGGTGGTGGTACACAAGACAAGTTTAGAATTTTACGGTTCCATCAAATTTTATGACATATTTTAAATACTTAGGTTTAAGGTTAGTAGAAGTTATAGAAGGTATTGGTAGTAGTAATAGTAGTAGTAGGTAGTAACTGTTGTAGATGGTAATTAGGTATTATTAGTACTAGGTAGTATTAGTAGTAGTATTAATACTATATTTACTACTACAGGGATTAGTGAAGATTACAAGGATTTTAAAAAAACAGTTAAAGTAAAAATAAGACATGTTGAACATCTGTGCATTTTGTTAGATGGTTAGCAATAGCATGTTTGGTATTTAAGCCACTTGACACATGCATTTGAATGCTCCTCAAAGAATCCTGAAGGTACTACTTAATCTGGCTATCTTTCAGCATTCCAAGACTTCTTCAATTCAAAATATCTGAATACTGGCCCATTTAACAGCTTCTTATCATAGCATATTAAACTTTATATTACACTGTAAATTACACTGTGAAGTCCATGCCAAAGAAATCTTTCATTCAGTAATATAAAAACAGTCAACCTCTATCTAAATCACCACTCCAACCATCTACAAAGGCAATACATTTCACTTTGCATGTTAGGATCCTGTAATGAGTATGTGATCTCCAACACTATATAGAAATATCGTGATATTGTATCGTCAAAAGTCTCAAAATAATATGGAGAGTTGTCACATTATATCGAATTACAAGTTTCTTTGCTTAAATGCATTGTTTTATAGTAGCAACAGCTAATAAGCATATGGAACTACATATCCCATGATTCATTTCAGTGCAGACAACATGAAGAAATATGTTTATTGCTTTCATTCTTGAGATTATGACAGGAATGATTTACACCAAAGTCTTGTCAAGGTATTTTAAAAGCAAAAAGTATCCCATCTTCAATTCTCTAGCCGCTCACAAACAATAGCAATAAATATCATACCATGAAATTAACATTGTGATAATATCGTATGGTGAGATTTGGATATCGTTACATCCCTATATGAGTCTAGGTAAAGTAAAGTATTCAAAATAACTGAATACCGGTGTCCTGTCGAAATGGACTACCCGTCGATTTGAGCTACCTAGTGCAACTGCACATGCGCACAACCCCCAAGCAGTTTAAATGCCCGTCGATTTGAGCTACTAGAGTAACATTTTAAAATTGTATTTATTGTATTGTATGCTTTGACCAATTAAGTATGTAAACAACAATATGTTAGATTTACATGTTAGAGCAGTGCTTCTCAATTATTTTCTGTCATGCCCCCCCTAGGACGAATAAAACATCTCGCGCCCCCCCCCCCCCAACCCCGCGTGACTATAGATAGTATAATTTGTCTATAAAATTGTTATAAGTACACCTGTGCGTAACACTGCCACCTTATATGACGCCAACAACGCTCGCTGTTTACTGAATAGCATCACAAAGTTTGTCTCTTTATCTCCGACTCTCTCCGCCTGTCTTCTCATCCCTGTTAATATTTTTTCATGTGTATGAGGGTCTGCTACACTTCGTGTCTATACTTCATACTCAAACTCTGTGCTGTGTGCAAAGCGCGCATGCTCAGTGCAAACAAACTCCTACACCACGAGCGAATGCTCCCTGCGCAACTCTGCCAATGAGAGCGCTCTGCCCCCTAATGTAGTGGAAGTGCAATTGCACTTTATTCTAAAGGCCCGTTCAGACCAAAGCGTCAAAGCGTCCACTTTCTATGTAAAGTCTATGTGGACGCGCGACTAGAGCGTCCTGCGTTTTTGCGGCGCGTTTTCGGCGTCAGCGCGGCGCGAATCTGGCGTCAGCGCGGCGCGTCTTCAGCGTTTTGGCGTCAGCGGCCAAGACGCGCGTCAAGGCGTCAGCGTCAAGAAGTTGAAAATGCTGAACTTTTCGCGTCAGACGAGCCGCGTCAATCAATCAGGGACGAGTATCCAGTGACGCAGCGACGTTATATCAGGAAGAAAGACCCGAGAACCAGAACGAGAACCACAAACATGAACGGAGAATAAATATATACGCCACAATCACCGAGCCGATCGCGAGGACTACACCAGGACCGACCAGGACCAAACCAGGACTAGACCACTAGACCAAGACCAAGGACTAGACCGGGACAGACGACCCCAACCGACTAGACCGTGATTAGACCAGGACTAGACCGGGACTAGACCGTGATTAGACCAGGACTAGACCGGGACCAGACCGGTATTAGACCAGGACTAGACCGGGACTGATCCAGTGTCATTAGCGGAGTAGAAATATATATACGCCCCAGTCGTCGACCCGATCTCCTCCGTGATGTTTTATGTCATTAAAACACTCTCTAGTCTGGTCTGACATTGTTTCGGGAAAAGAGCGGGACCGGGCTCTTGTTTCCAGGGCAACGGACGCGCGTCAAGTATTTTTGTCCCGTTCGTCCACGGCGTCAAAGATGCGCGTCGGGGGGCGTCTAAACTCAAATGCAAATGCTCCAAATAGAGGCGTCAAGGCGTTTTTTGACGCGTTGGTGTGAACGGCCCTTAAGACAGTAAAAAAAATCAAAATAAAAAAATAAAAAAGCATGCTCCCCGAGGTCAAACGCGCCCCCCTTGACGGAGCCTCGCGCCCCCCCAGGGGGGCGCGCCCCACTAATTGAGAAGCACTGTGTTAGAGTGAATATTTTGAATTTAGTATTTGATTTTATTGTTATCATTTTCATTACATTTTATTTTGTTTCCATGTGTAGAAAACACTGTAATTTAGTTTAGAACGGCACTGTATTATATTAGGAAATTCACAATGTAGCCTATGATATTAGTGTTAAATACCTGGGTCATGTGACTATTAACGGTGTGTAGATTATTGTTCAAGTTAGTTCAACAGATGCTATAATTAGCCTATGATTAGAGTGACTAAATTTATATTAACAATTCCTGTAGCCTAAGTACAAGGCCTACACTTGTAAGAATGCCTGACGAAATGAGCTACCTTTACCCATATTCATATAAATAAGTAAATAATGGTGATTCTACAGCAGGAGCATTATTCGATTATTATTCGGTACTGGGGACCTGGTTGTCCCCAGTACCAGGCTGAGGACCAGAGGAGATGGGGTCTTCTTTGTGATCGGTCCATGACAGCGGAACACTTTGCCTTTGCACTTTAGAACTGCACAATCACTAGAGAACTTTAAATCCCTGCTCAAAACGCACCTTTTCTCCTTGGCATTTGTCCAGAGTTAGGAAGAGACACCTTGGCACCTTGCTGCTGTTATTATTATTAATGTTACTACTAAAATTCAGCTTGATTTGCTTATTGTAGGTTTTATTTCACCGTAAATGTTGTTCAGCACTTTGGTAAGCTTTGGCTGTTTTAAATGTGTAGACAAGTAAATTTGATTTGATTTGCTGATTAAATGTTGATAAATAACACTGCTGTATATTCCTTGGTATTGAAATAGAGTTTGAAATTGTAGTATCTAAAATAAGAGGTTCAAAAATGTATTACTGCTAGTGTGATACATACTAGCAGTTATTCATTTTTGAACCTGTTATTTTACCATCTTACCATCATTGTATCACATTTTGTATCTATATATTCATTTGTTGTTTTCTAAATAAAGAGTATTTTTTATTATTATTGTGGTATCGGAATCAGTATTGAGTATTGAATAGTTTGAACATCTTATTTACTTTATTTACCATAATTTTAACAAATTTTTCTCCTGTAGCCCTAAGTCTCTCACCCCTGCAGCTCCTCGTCAGACGGCGTGTACTTGGCTGTGACGTCGGCCAGGTCTCCAAAGATCTGAGCGCTGTAGATGGTCAGGCAGGAGAGCAGGATGAGCTCCTGCCAGGTGGAGCTCAGCAGACAGGTGTAGTCCTCGATGGAGAGCTCGCAGAAGAAAGGCAGCTTCTTTATCCACGAGATCTGACGGAACAGGAGCTCATCGGCCAGACGGCACAGCAGGGCAAACAGCTCCACCTGGGTCACCTTGTACCTGGGGGAAAATGTAAGATTGTGAGAAGTTATATTTGTGATTACAGTTTTTACTCTAATCAGTTCAAAAACATGTGTAATTAATAGTTATAAGAAAGATAGATTGATGGATAAATAAAGAAATAAACAAACTTACGAATGTTAAGGACATTTGTTCTGCCAACCAACATAGAACAAAGCCACGCGTCTAATCTACAGTGGCTTTGTAAACATGAACCAGAAGGGATTATTAATAAAAACTCTATATAAAATCAATCATCATCCAAATATCTGTGCTTAAAAAATTCTCCAATTCTCTCCACTTTATATACTGTACAACACAAGAAAACACCCTGCTGCTTTAGTTTATATGGGTTTGGGACTGGCAATAGATCATGACCAATTAAAGGTGCACTATGTAACTTTTATGGTGGAGGGTTTGCAATCTGCTGGTCTCCATGGAGATATTGCTTGTAATGCTCTACAGAGTGGCATTAAACGTAACCATCTACATCAGGGATCTCCAACCTGTAGCTTGGGAGCTACCAGTAGCTCTCCACCCCCTTCCAAGTAGCTCGCCAAGGGATTCCTGAATTACACGTATTGTCCTGAATAACTCAAATTTGATGACTTATAAGCCTATTATTATTGTAAATCTATCATTTTGATGCCTGACATTGTGCACTCATAAATAAATAATGTTCTATGTTTTATGTTTTATATGCTGTATGAATGAATGCTGAATGAATAATGCTGAATAAAGTGTAAAGCGTCTTTGGGGACAGAAATGTCTGTGAAAGTGCTATATAAATAAAGACTTACTTACTTACTTATATTTGATCTAACTGTACCCATCTAAGTCTTGTCATGGCTCTTTTGTACACTTTAGTTCCTGCGACAGCTAAAATGAGCAGCTCTCTGGAATTTTGTCTTTGTTAAAGGTAGCTCACCGGAGGAAAAAGAAAAGAAGTTGGAGACCCCTGATCTACATGGAGCCAAGCAGGCGATGCCACCAGGACACATTACAAACAATGACATTGAATAAATACATTTATAAGATAAATGTGTTTTAAGTCTTACTGGGGGACATTGCTGGCAAAATATCTCAGAACCTTCAGCCCAAATGTTACATAGTGTACCTTTAAAGTGGGATTATAGGGCCAACATTACGCTATTTTCTGAACTATGTTATAATGTTTTCTCATCACAAACACACCAGTTGTGTTTTGTTTCATTCACACATGTTTAACACACAAACCCTGCATATTTAGGCTGAGTTCTTCTGTCATACAGAAAACACTCTGTTCCACCTGATGATGACATGTCGTAAGACAGGAAGTATTAAAAACTAAACTCCAATACACCTTCACGAGAATCATTCGGATAATTTCAACCCTGGGATTGTCAATCTGTTCTGAACTAAATGTAAAAGGAGCTGTTCACTTGAACACCACTACATGACATCACAACAGCATAACAGAGCTTTGGAAATGTAGACAGACTAATAATTAGGGGTGTGCAAAAATATCAAAATATCACTATATCGTATTGTTTAATGTGATGATACAGTATCGATATTGGGGGCTGCAGTATCGATATATCGCCAAAAGTATTTTTGGGTATATTTTCTTAAATATACTTACAGCTACAGTTTTGTTGCTTGTTTACAGAAAGGAAACTCATTTATTTCATATATTTACAGTTTTGAGGATTAAAATATTTGTGTTTCATATTCACTCTGCACAAGACGTGGTTTAACAAAGACTTTCTGTATCACAGACATGATTTAGCCTTTATTTCTTATAGCATTGTATGGAATCAATTTGAAATATATCGTATCGAATCGAAAGCTCAATGTATCGAGATGCATATCATATTGTAGCCTATGTATCGGGTATGTATTGGATCGGCAACTTCTTAATGATACCCAGTCCTACTAATAATAAAGGGTTAATCATGATCATCATCATCAATCAAACATGTGTTAATGAAACAACTCCAGGTATATTTTTGAGGAGGGAACAGCATTATAACATGGCTTAAAGCTCACAAAAATTGTTTTGCATAATATAGAAGCTTTAATAAACCTGCCAAAGATGTTCACTTTGTCTTCTGAAACTTTAACTTCTTGGGTTCTTTTTAAAGACAGTGCAGTAAAGTGTGTTTACCTTGTTGACATGTTTCGGCTGCTAGCTGCAAGCCATCTTCAGAACTGTCACTGGTGTTGGAAACATGTCAACAGGGTAAATACACTCTACTGCATTGTCTTTAAAAAGAACCCAAGAAGTTAAATTTAATAAACCAGGTACAATGCATGTACAAAATATAGCTAAGTATTCTAGTTTATAATATATATGTATGAGTAAATAAAAAAATATCATGTATAAGAGTAAATGCCAACACTGACCCGTCCTCTATGAGCATGGGTGTGGCCAGGGGGCTGAGGTCCTCTGCTGCCACCAGCTGGAGGACCAGGGGATGTGACTGGGGGTAGACTCCGACTCCTCCTCCGCGGGGCTGAGGGGCCAGCAGACCCGACTGAGCCGCGTAGCTGAAGAGGTGAGGCAGCAGCTGGTAGTGAGTGGGCATGGACGTGTTTATGTACTGGTCCCTGAGAGCCGCAGTGTAGCCATTCATCTCCACTGAGCGACTGCGGGGAGAAGAGAAGTGAAGAAAGAAAGAAAAAGAGGTCAATAGGTTAACAGTGATTCTTATTTTATACCAAATATTACGTCCCTCTTTTTCAGTTCATGCATTTCTTTATTGCCCAACTTACTCTAACTATTATGGGTAACTCATGTTTAAGTCTAATAATATAATAAAGAAAATAAATAAATGAACAGAATGAACAAAGGTTAGCCATGTCAAGGTATTTCAGCTTCCAAATTTTATGGGCAATTGTGCATAATAGAGTAGATTTAAAAATATGGGTGATTATTGGTCAACAGTTTTATTATGTGTTGTTTTTTTTCCATTCAGACCCAATTGTTAAAGCATAATTTTAAGAATCATTACAATTCTCTTAATCCTACATTTGAAAGTAACAAAATATTCACATTTCCAACTAGATTCGGAATTCTAGTTTGTATACAAGTATTAGTATTACACGTAATACTAATTTCAAAACATTATCGTCTTATTGAAAAGCACATTTGTATCCATTGCCATCTTTTAACTCAGCTCGGCAAAAAACGTAAACAACCTTTGCATGTGAGAAATAGCAAAGACTTGTCCTCTTTCGCACCAAATATTTGGGTCCACCGAGCTGTAGACTACACAGCGCCCACACTGTACCTGCCGTTACATACCAGCGCCTCATTACGCTTGGCATGCTGTTATTGTTGTTCATTTGGGCCTAGATTTAATCAGATAAGACAACTATTTCTCTGAATAGTTATTGAGCTGCCAGCTACCTCGATAAACCTTGTGTTTATACAAATAGTCTAAAATACATGCCGTCATGCCAGCACCTAGACAGTATTTGGCCTTCGCGAGTGCAGATAGACAAAAGGCGCGTCTCCGTAGCAAGAACAGGAGATAATGTGGCCAGATTGTGATTCGTGTGCTATCGCCGCTAGTGTTGGGAGCTGCATATTCAAGCTCTTTTGAATGCCTGATGAATGCTTTAACTAAGGACTTGGCGAGAGAGAAGCCGGGTGCAGGACTGTCATGGCCGAATCATTGTGTTACTAATGAGCGGAGGTGGAAGATTTCAAAATTTTTTGATTTTTTTGTTGATGAATATGTGTTTTGTTTTGTAGAAGCATGTAATTCTACTTGTGAATAAAGGTATTTTAGGACTTGAAAGCTGAAATCATCTTACTTTCTACGTCTATTGTTTGTGCACGTTTGGCTATAAATTAAAGTTATACACTTCTGAAATGTATTAATAATTCAAAAAACACAATCCAAAATGTAAACGTTGGCGTGCATTTGACGACATACTATATTAAGCAAAGTAAAATAATACGCTGTGTGGTTTTATCCAAATCAAATCAAAGTGACTGAATGCAACTTCCAACTCAGCAAGATTCCATGGAAATAGAAAGTTAAAGCCATACTGTGGAACATTCTTCATGGTTATAGTGGTGTGCAGTAGAAGAAACAGCATTTGGTCAACCACACAAATGTTGTCCGTGTCTTCACTGTCGTTGTCACTGTCAGCATTTTTGTGTTTGACCATGTTTATTTGTTACAGGACATAGCGATATGGCACCTGTTATAGGAGCGTCTGGAGCAGCGAACAGATCAAGTGGTTGAGCGCGTTCATGCGCTGGTAGTAAAGTGCAACGTTTGTTACTTCAAACCAGGTCTTGATGGAAACATGTGCGGGATACATTTGGATTATTTTTCAATGGGGAAACAATATGCCACGATAAAGAAGGTTTAACGTGACAATACAGCTCCAGCAGTTTTGCGTCTCTCTATGGGAGTGAATGGAAGCGAGAGGAGGACACGCCCCCCATGCTTCCAGGTGTGGCCCCGCCTTTACCAGTTACGCTGATCGCCAGACAATCCGGAACACTGACAGGAGACTCAGCGCTGCGCTGCGCAGCATCCGGCGTCAATGGGTTAAGTAAAGTACAGATACCTAAAATTTTTACTTAAGCACAGTTACGTTTCTACTTTTCTTTTGTTACGTTCCACCACTGCCAGTAACCACACCTTTACAGTACTACACATTATTTGCAACAGTTTAGCTTTCGTTCCAAAAATCGAAATGCACAATCTACTCAATCTACTCACTTGGATGACAGGGTAGAGGCAGGAGACGGCTGGTTCCCCTCAGAAGCCCCGTTACTGGGCGAGCTGTGGTCACTGTCACCGTTGTTGCCCCAAGTGTGGTCGGGGGCCTCCTCCTTGAACTCCTGTCCGGACATGATGCGCTCAATCTCCTCTTCTGTGATCTGAAAACACAAACACATACACACACACAAAGTTGAGACGCCTTCTCCTGACCAGCCGAGTGTCCTAGTTCAACTGACAGGCAGGGAGTAGTGTGCTTTTCAATGGGAGCAAGGACATGGACCATACAATGAACCAGCGGCGGCAGACAAAGGGAGGGAAAATAAAGCAGGGAAACAGGTATGTGGTGGTGGCTAACATGAATGGCAAAAACGCACAAAAATACACAGCTGACATTTAAAAATCCTCACGTAAACACACAAAATGGCCGACAATAACTATTTAAAAACACATTAGCATACCAGCAAATATGTGACGGCTAAGACAAGGTCAAGTATGTTTTTTCAGCTCATTTATTGCATTTACAAGTATTCATTTCATATTCATGATACAGAGGTCTTATTTACACATACAACTCTAATATCTACAAATGTTTATAATTAGTACTACAGCAGTGGTGAGTAAGGGTGTGCAAAAATATCGAAATATTGATCTATCTTATCATTTACTGTGATGATACAGTATCGATATCATGGGCTGCTGTATCGATATATATCACCAAAAGTATTTTTTGGTGTATTTAACTAAATTATTTCGTTACAGTGCTACAGTGTTTTGTTGTTTGTTTAGTGGAAGGAAACTTTTTTAAGCGACACTTTTGACATTTTCACTGTTTTAATGATTAAATGTTTGTGTTTCATATGAACTTTGCACAAGAAGTGGTTTAACAAAGACTTCTAGTATCACAGCCATGATTTAGATTTTATTTTTTTACTGAGTCGTATCGAATAACTTTGAAATATATCGTATCGAATCGCAAGCGCATTGTATCGAGGTATGTATTGTATTGGCAATGATACCCAGCCCTAGTGGTGAGTTAATTGTGTGGGCCCTAGAGTTGTCAAAAGTATTGAAAATCTGATACTAATAGATACTAAAGCTAGTATCAAAACTACAGTAGATATTCATTAAAGTACTGATACTAACAAAGCAAAACAAACAAACAAACAAAAAAACAGAACCAGTGTAGGAGCACATGGTATAATGAACAAATGCGGTTATTTGTGTTTAAAATTTTAAAATGACATCGTCTAAAAAGTCTTCAGGTCTATTCTTTAGTATTAAAATCATTTAAAATGTTAGTACTGTGACAGCACTAGCAGGTCCTGCATGTATTTGAAAGCATCACAAGGGTGGGTTAAAATATTTTGGAGAATATGTCAGCAAAATATAACAAAAAGAACAAAATAAATGAAAAAAAAAAAAAAGAATTGCAAAATTGTCCTTTACCTGAACCGGCCCGATGCTTTTGTTCCTTCCTCCTGGCATGCCATCCTCCCTGATGGCTGGAAAAACAGAGGAAAAAGAAATATTAGACAATACAATTTAATTTCACTTGGTTAAAACACAGCTTTTGTTGCCATTACACTGATACCAGAGCTCTATCTAGAGGCTGTAAATCATATTTGCAGTCATTAATTATAGTATATTTCAAACATAATCTTCGCATTACTTTAGGGAAATAAATGTGTAAAAATATTTATTGCAAATGTCGACCAAAATGTTAACTTTCACTTTTCCACATAACTGCTAGGGGGCGGCAGAGGTCCTTGAAACCTACAGTACTTGAAGGAGCAGGGAACAAAGCAGTGTGTTCATCTTGCTGTATTTTCCATCAGCAACTAATTACCGCCTATGGCTGCAGTGTTCGGTCTGTATCCACTAGAGGGCAGTGTTTGATTTCCTCACACTCATTTGAAGGGACTAAAAGCATTTGATGGGTTAAACTACCAGTTTCAGTAAAACAGTATTTTTTTCTGGTTTTCTAATTTACAGACCTACAGCCAGCAGATGTGACATATGTGAGAGCAATTCCATAACTGTTACTACCTGACTACTAAAAAATAAATGACAAGTTTATTTTGTTAAATTCACTTCTAAAATGGAAGACATCAACACCAAGAATACCATCTAAAATGCACGGACAATTCTCATGCAATTCATATATTTCTGTCCATTTGAATCTTAAACTACTTCCTGCACTTTTTCACTTTTGAACTTTTTTGCACAAACTGACCCTGAACTGATGTAAAACTTTGATAAAGACTTGATACTCAGAACCGATTCCAATACCACAATAATAAAAACACTCTTTCTTTAGACAATAGAATGTGATTTTCAACATTACATAATAGTACTTTCTTTTATACTACCATGTGGTGTATATCTACGTAATGTCTATGTATCTATGTCTATGTATAATGTCTATCTATGTATATGTAATGTCTGAAATAGCCTATACACACTCATTGGATATAGCGCACATAGAAGCTTTTAGTGGAGTTTGGGTCTAAAGCACATGGCTCATGGAGTGAGGAGCACTTGAAGCAGCGTGTATGTGCTCTGGATGTCTCCATCCAGGTGAGGAGCTTTGTCTATGCACTGCATTCACCTGTCCATTCATGACCTGCCTCGTTCACGCTGGAGCATCGCTTGTGTGGTTTCAATGAGCTATAAAACTATTCATAATGTGTCTGCTCATTGCGCACAAGACACTGTGCACCTTTTTCTCGTCCCTCGCAGTTTTCATGTGGTGATAATTGCTTAAGGACTAAAGTTGTCCTCTTTGTGCAGGTAACACATCATCAATGGGGACATTCAAGGTACGCACAGTGCATACAGGCGCCCCCTGCAGGCGCCTCTGTGGGTGTACAGGCTTTACATGTTCCTTACTTGAGGATCCTCATAATATATTCTTGTAATTTGTAAAAACTGTGACTAAGTTGTGGGCCAAACTAAATATTTATTGAAAAATTTCAACATCATCTGTATGTTTTCTCATCTTTCGAGATATGTAATATTAAACTTTTTCTTATTAAAATAAATGTTTAATAACAGTTTTGCTTAAACATTGAATCCAGAACAAGCATCATATAAAATAATAACATTTAAAATAAATAATGTCTCTATAGCCTACATGTCTATAGCCTACATGTCTATAGCCTACATGTCTATAGCCTACATGTCTATAGCCTACATATTTGGTCTATGCTGTACCGCACAAACCACACACTGTGGTGCAGAGGCACGTAAAGTTACCACCAGGGAAATTCTTAAACTGCGACAGCCCAAGCTGGCACATGAGCTATGTCTGTTGATATATACAGGCTATTGAGTCTATGTGGTTTTATACTTGTTCTGATACAACTCATCATCATTCTAACACTATTCAGGAAAAGCTCATTTGATGTGACTTTTTTCGTGTTGACACCTGCTCAAATGATACTAGTCTCGATACTAGTTTTAATATCATCTGGTTTTCGATACTTTTGACATCTCTAGTCCAGTGAGTGACTTTATGGAGAACCCTCAGGCAGGCAGGTCTCTCACCCTTGCGGTTCATTCCCATCTGCAGGCACTTGAGCAGGCGGCAGTACTGGCAGCGATTGCGTTGTTTGCGGGACATCTCACAGTTCTTGTCCCTGCTGCAGCGGTACACGCGCTTGTTGCAGATGCTGCGTTTGAAGAAGCCCTTGCAGCCCTCACAGGAGATGATGCCATAGTGCAGGCCTGTGGCGCGGTCCCCACAGATAAGGCAAGTACGCTGGTCAACCGGATCATCTGCACACAAGCAAAAACACACCGAGTAGTTAGTTCACGTGTTCACAAATACTAAGGATGAGAGTTTTAGTTCGTTCTATACAGTTAACATAAATTTCTTGACATTCACATTTTATCTGAAGTCATTTTCAGAGCTGTCATGAAGATAGGTGGAAAACATGTCAACACGGTAAACACGCCTCCTACAGTATTGTCTTTACAAACAACCCAAGAAGTGAATGTATAGGAAGACAAAATAAACATTTTTGGATTATCCAGATTACCACTCATGGGTTTCAGATTCTTGTTATAAGTGACATTTGGAAGACTTTTTGCCATACAATCATAATCGCTATGACAACGGTCCTAACTCTTCTTCACTCTGAAACCCATGGATGGATATACTGACTTTACACTTTTTGAAAATAGTTTTACCATAAACAAACATGTTTTTTAATGTTTTGAAAATCATAATTCACTTCAATGTCTATCCTTCTGTGTTTACAAAAAATGATAATGTTGACCCAGTTTAAGTACATTGTTTCATTTTCCCATTTCAATATTTTATGTTCAGTTACCACATGTGTAGATCATCTTACAAACTAAATGATTTGCTTTGGGCCAACATAAAAATATTAAGTGAACAAATGTGACAGTAAATTTGAACAGGGTAAAACTTTTATTATTTCTTTTTTCATAAGACCTCATACATTTAACAGTTTGTAGTAAAAACAAGTGAAGCCGATTTACTAATTGTGATATTGATTCACTGCAATTAATCTTTCAATCCCCGACTGTGACTAAACAGAAAAATAGTGGGTGCGAAAACCTTGCTGAAGGCACATATTTTTAATTGAGATCATGGGGGCGGTTAAGGCTTAAGCACTAGCCTCCGCAGCTAATCCATGTGATTCTTAAGCTCCAACTCTTCATTTTGAGAAAGTGGAGGTGTAACAGTGAGCCGAGACAAGAGTATGTTTTATTCAGAGGGGCAGTCGACTGAAATGATTTCTCTTACAGTGTCTTCTTTCAAACACGCTCGATGCCTATCACTTTCGGAGCGGCCATGTTCCGCTTTATTTATATAGCACATTTTACGAACAAAGCAGTGTCCAAAGTGCTGCAGAGAACATAAAATTAAGACGACAAAAGGTTAATTGCTAAAAATATGATCATACCAGTGACAAAAACGATAAAACCAGTAAAAATCAAACGCAAAACCATTTAAAAAGACACAAAACTGCAATAAATAAGTATAAATAAATCAAATAAGTACTGGATCCTCTGCTTCGCTCTTGGCTCCGCCTTTGTCCAGCCAGCGGAGCCCTCGCAGTCATTAACCTTCACCTTATTTCCTTCAACTTTCTGCTGATCACTCCAAACTGTGAAAAGGAGCCAGCGCGGAACTGCTAATTTGGACCACATGTACGGGGGGAGCATTTAGGGGTGTGGGACCATGGGGAGAGGAAGTCAAATTGGACATGGGGGGATTTAGCATGCCATTAAAAACCCTGGAGGAGTGTTTGAAACCGCTGTTATTTTTGCCTCTTTCGTACCGGAAACCCACTTACGCTGGCTCGTTTATTTAATACATCACGTTTTATTTTATTTTTACAGTTTTTTGAATATAAAAATACAAACTAATCACACATGGAGCCCTCCTACATGTTGATGACAAATGCACTTTTAGATTTTCGCAGTTTCGCTAGAATGGACTCTAACCGCTGCTGCGAACTGCCATCTTAAAATGGTAATTAAAAACGGCAAAGTTATGCGATATATGTTCATAATTATCAATATATAAACAATAATCTGTAAACTTTCTGTAAACGCTTTTAGATAATTACTTTCTGTTGACGTATGGACAGGTTAGCTGAATGAATGAAGTGGTTTTCCAGTACAAAGAGGGCAATGAAAACCGAGATGTAAAAAGAACAAACAAAACGGTTTCACTAATAGGAATGTAACGATATCAAAATCCTTCGATACATTATTTTCACGATATGCATCTCACGGTTCGATAAAAAACTGTGAATAATAGGGATGTAATGATTAGGGGTGTGCAAAAATATTGAAATATAGATATATCGTATAGTTTAATGTGATGATACAGTATCGATATCGTGGGCTGCTGTATTGATATATCACCAAGAGTATTTTTTGGTGTATTTTACTAAATTATTTTGTTACAGGTCTACAGTTTTGTTGCTTGTTCAGAGGAAGGAAACTCGTTTATGTGACACATTTGACATTTTCACTGTTTTGATGATTAAAATGTTTGTGTTTCATATGAACTTTGCACAAGAAGTGATTTAACAAAGACTTTTAGTATCACAGACTTCATTTAAGCCTTCATTTTTTATTGAACCATATTGAATCGATTTGGAATATATAGTATTGATTCGAAAGTTCACTGTATCGAGATATGTAACATATTGGCAACTTCTTAATGATACCCAGCCCTAGTAACGATATCAAAATCCCTCGATACGATATTTTCTGGATATGCATCTCACAGTTTGATAAAAAACTGTGAATAATACCGATGTAATGATATCAAAATCCCTCGATACGATATTTTCACAATATGCATCTCACGGTTCGATAAAAAATTGTGAATATGCTACTTTTTTCTTTTAAAAATCTCAGGAAAGCCTTGAAAAGCCGTTGGTACCGTTAGAATACGAAGAATTAAGATTTAAAAGTGCTTAATAACAGTTATTTCATCATGTAATCTGCACTGACAACACCAAAGGATCATGGTCTACGTAGTTCCTTGTACTGCCGCACCATGGCCAGACAAGGTTTATTTCTTTCAAAGAGCTTTACAGAATAAGAAAGACATTCAAATCATAAAGAACGACAATAAAATCACCATAACTATTCATTTAAGCGACTTTGAATTTGATATATTGTGATGGTTTTCCGAGACTTTTGACGATACGATATCTCTAGCCTTATTCTTCCCACTTCCCCGATCATGGAGGTACACTTTCCAGTTCAGACAGCGATCTCCGAAAGCTCTGCCAAATCTCCCATAATCCCCCTCTACCTCCGGGGACACAAAACCCACCGAATCAAGACGGACTAACATTTTAAGTTGATACGCATAGTCTTTGCTGTCCTCTGCGCAGTCTGCTAAGCTCCAGCGCTCCGTAAGAAGCTCCACTCCTCTTTCTCCCTCTCTCCGTTCCTCTCTCTCCTCCCCCGCTCTCCTCTCCACAGCTCCTGCCCCCTCCTGAGGCCAGATGGGCAGGTTTTCCATGGTGATGAAGAAAAGGCCATTTTTTTGTTGTTGTTTTTTTTTTACTCCTTTCTCGCTCTCTTTGCTAAAAAGTCGAGCTGGCACCGGTGAGAGGAATGCGGTGAGGAGCTGATCGGTATCAAACCCGGAGATCAAACGTGAGCGAGGAGAGGGGGAGGAGGAGAGAGGAGAGGAGAGGAGAGGGGGAAGAGAGGGGGACTGATACAAGCTGGAGACGTGTCCACGCTGAAGGACGCTTCCTGGAACTGACCATTCGCTTCATTCACTGCAGGGCGTTTTCTCATCATTGTCCTTAAAGAAAGCTTGAGAATACACATTGGGAAGTAACATTGGGACATTTCCTAATTACTAATCTGACGGAAAACAATAAATAAAGGAAATTGAACTGAATCACAGAATAAATACCAAAAAAATTAAATAATAAATAGTAGATCTTTCATGTGTACTGACAGATTTTGAGGCTTGATATTTTTGCTTCTTATTTAGAATTTATATAAATAATTTTCCTTGTGGATCAATAAAGTTTTCTAAGTCTAACAGAAACTGAACTGAACTGGATCACAGAATCAAAAAATGCTTTAAAAAAGTCACTAAAACAAGCAGATATTGTAGTACATTATGCAACAATGGTGACATAGTATTTGGATAGAGACAGATTTCTCATTGCCCAAAATTCGACCTCAGTACTAAAACGTTTGAAACTATTTGTAACTCTGCCCAATGATGAATTGAATCGATGAAATTGGGTGTAAAATTTTGAAATAATTAGGCGTTAACCAGTATCGTCACAAGAGCTTATAGGCGATAACGGCTCGTGAAACAAATCTGAACGGCTCATTTGAACCTAAAAAGCTTTAAAACTTAAATATTTACACTTTAATTTGCCTAATTAGAATGAACAAAGACTTAATTAATAATGGACAGACAGTTGATAAGAATGATTCAGGCTTAGGAACTACTTTATTTAAGGGGTTAGGATGGAGAAGGAACAAACAATACAATTTCTTAAACTATTTGTGCATTATGGATTAAGTCTTTGTTCATCCTAATTGGGCTAATTAAAGTGTAGTCATTTTAAAGTTTTTAAGATTTTTAGGTTCAAAATGAGCCATAAAATTTGGTTCACCAGCAGTTATTACCTTCTAAGCTCTTATGGACACATTTTTATATGGCGCTTTTCCACCTTCAAAGCACTTTAAAACTGCTCACCCATTAACACACATTCATTTCATACTCCAGTGTGCGCAGACACTGGGGGCGAGGTGGGTTAAGTGTCTTGCCCAAGGACACAACAACAGCATTCATCTGTGAGAGCTGGAATCGCACCTAAAGCCCGTGGCTCGGTGGATCTGACCGCTCAACCATTTGAACCGACAAACTTTGGACTGAGCTACAGCCACCCCATGATGCCACCCTTATGATGGACTCTCATTTAATTATAAAATTCAATTCGGTTACATCAGGTGCAGTTACAAATAGTTTCAAACTTTGTAGTATTGATGTCTAATTTTGTATGTTTCATTTTGGGCAATGAGAAATCTAGTGTCCCTATGTATTCTGTCGCTATTGTTGCATAATGTGCTACAATATCCCCTGGTTTTAGTGATTTTTAAACATTTTTTATTCTGTGATTCAGTTCAATTTCCATTATTTTTATTTATTTTTTCTGTTTTTGTTCATGCTATATAAAGGCCATTAAAAGTGTAGTTCATAGAATTGTAAGAAAGAAATGTGCTGCTTTTGGATGGAAAAAAAC